TTGCCCCACATTACGACAAATCTGCTTTACGATGATCTAAATGGGGGAATTTCGGTTTGCAATGATTGGTTCCCTGCTTCGGGAACCAATTCTTCACAAAATAATGTTTTTCTAACAGCTGATCGGCAGTTTCAAAATGCCCACTGGGTAATTAAAATGGCTCCCTGCTGTGTTTAGGGACGGATTCCTCGCTATACAGGCAGCGAATATATCCTCCGTATGGAGGATCTTCGCTGGATGTTGAGTTTTAAGCCCATTGGAACACATTGAAAGGTTTTCAATGCGTTTCAATGGGCTTTTTATTTTCGCTTTACGATGTTTTTGCTTAGCAGTGATTTTCCTGGAACGGATTATCGCCGTTAAGTGAGGCACTACTGTACACTAGTTGATTTATGCTTTTTGTTAACCAGATCCCTAAATATCTAAAGCTAGAATAACACAAATCTAAATTTGACATTACCTTAATTTTCTTTTGTTCTGTTATATGAATGTTTATACATAACAGTTTAGATTTTTGATAATTGAGTTTTAATCCTGTATGCTGATTAAATGTTTCCAGTACTTGTCTTGGCGATGCTTTTGAATTGATTTTTCAAAAATGGAAGCATATTATCGGCATACAAGTTAATTTTATGCTGTGTGTTGCTGGTTGTCATGCCAGTAATGTTATTGTTCTGCCTCTAGTTTCTTTCTCCACTTTCTGTAGAAGAAAATTATCAGCCAATCAAGCCAGGAATTTCTTGGAAGGTGCCATACTTGACAGAAGTTGCCTCCCAATAGATACCAGGATAATTGAAATCTCCCATCACTAGTAGTGTGTCTCTTTGAAATCTTTGGAATTTGTTTCTCAGAAGTGTCATCCGCATCCTCAACTTGATTAGGTGGTTGGTACTAGACTCCAAACACCATGTTCCTTTTGTTTTTCGCCCTAACTACATTGATGCTCTCAATGGGACAGCCAATCTCCTCCTGTATTTCTGTGCAGGAATGTATATTTTTGACATATACTGCAACTCCACCTTACCTTCTATTCTTTTCTTTTTTAACAACTTCAGTTGCTATATTCCAGTCATGGGAGTCATCCCACCAAGTTTCAGTTGTTTCTGTCAAATCATATTTACCCTCCTGAGCTAAAATTTCCAATTCTTCTTGTTTCCCATACTCCTGACATTCGTATATAGACACCAGAAATTGTGTAATATATGCCCTCCTTTTCTTTGTGCATTATTATGAATTATGAGAACTTCTTTCAAAATGCTTGGATGCCTGCTGTTCAAAATGCTCAAAATCCCTGGCGTTCCATGTGCCTTGTGTTTGTTTTTCAAAACAAGTTTAGGCATTATTTATCTTTCAAACAATTAGCATAAATACCATCAAGTCTCAAAATAAATTAGAAAAATATCAATCTGAGTACCTTAACAAATCCATTGGGGCAGCTTCCAGTTGGGACGTGTGCACTTTGGTGGAAGCCTAATTGCGCTTTTGGCAGTGTTTGCACAAAACAAATTGGCCAGTTATCCAGGCAAAGATATTAATTTAAATATGCATCCTTAATGTAAAAAAAAAGCACACACAAAAAAAAAAACAGTGATAACTGCTGGATGGCTTTTGTGATGAATTTTGTTCCCCTGATTAATAAATTTTTTAAAGGGAATGCTATTAGTAAATACTTAAGAAGTGTAATACAGTATCAGTTTATATAAATAAAAATTCATTTGCAACCTGGCATGGATGATTATTCAGAACAGACTCCTGGATCTTTCTTATAACTTTCTGGGATCCAATATTCCCTGTTTGTTAATTTCAGATAGGGAAATTACATTTTGAACTCCACTGTTGCATTTACTTTAAAAAGGCCGGTCTGGAGAAATTGGAGATAGCACATTGTGGTAGGGTTATCTTGGTTGATGAAATGCTTGTGCATTCCATTAGTACATAAGAGTTCCCTTGATAGAAAGCTTCAGAATCTTTGAGGCCTACAAAAAAGTATTATATGCTGTCTCTATACTTCACAGTTGCAGCTGTTTGATGCTATTTTTATCTATATTGGCTCCATCCTTTGAAATCTGTACTTTGATGAGGTATCTTGAATTTGCTGCTTAAGAGTCCAGAACTATACTATTGAGGTTACAAATACCAGTATTTTGTATATGCCGAACCAGCTTGGTGCTGGCATCCTTTAACTCAGAGGTTTCCAACCCTCGGTCTGTGGCCTGGTGCTGGTCCGTGGCCTGAGCCGGGCTGGGCCGCTGAGACAGACCTTCCCCCCACATGCACTCCTCCCCACACAGTCGGTTTATGCTGAGCCCACATGAGCACTCCCCCACCCCTTCACACATGCACACAAGTGCCCCTGAGCGCTGTGCTGCCTTTTGCACATGCGCCCACATGTGCGCGCACCCGCAAGAATGCCCCCGCTCCTTTACACCTGTGCATGAGAGAGCTCTCATGTGAGCGCTCCTTTGCACATGCGCACAAGCGCAGGGGGGTGCCCCGCCTTTCCCAGCCAGTCCGTGTGGCTAAAAAGGTTGGGGACCGCTGCCTTAACTGACTATGTAGTATAGGAGCACTCATATCACAAGGGTGGTCAGCCCTCTCTCTCTTAACTTCCACATATATCTCAATAAAATAAATCTCACCATAACAAAAACAACTTTTTAATGGGAAGAACATATAGATATATATGCTTGTCTTTGTGCTACTATATTTATTACTACCGGTCCATTTTAAATGTGTAGAAATTTTAACAGAAATTAATTCATTAGTAACAAGAAGTAGAAACTAATACTAGTTGGTGGCCAGGGAAAATGGGATTAGGAGAAATGCCGACTATCCGTGCCAGAGGGTTAATTCATGGTGATCTGTGCCAGATTGAGTTGGTAGATGACACATATTTGTGGAAGGACATGGGGATTGAAGAAGAGGGAATTCTTAGTAATTGTTATGAAAACCTGTGTTCCATCTAGACTGCTTATGTGTCCCTCCAGTGGTATGTGGACGCATGTTTCTTTCATGAGCAAAGTGGTTGAGAGGGTGGTGGCTGACCAGCTTCAGGCACTTTTGGATGAAACAGATGCCCTGGATCCATTTCAGTTGGGCTTCAGGCCGTGCCACGGTACAGAGACGGCATTGGCCGCACTGTTGGATGACCTGTTGAGGGAGGCTGACAGGGGCAAAATGTCCTTGTTGGTCCTCCTCAACATTTCAGCGGCCTTTGATACCGTCGACCACGGTATCCTCCTGGGGAGGCTCTCTGAGTTGGGTATTGGTGGCTTTCCTCTGGCCTGGTTCCGTTCCTCCTTGGAGGACCGATCCCAGAGAGTGCAGCTTGGCGAGAGTATTTCGGCCCCGTGGAGTCTCAAATGTGAGAGACTATTTCTGCCTGACATTTCTGCCTAGTCTAACAATAACATGATAGTCGTAAATCTATGAAATAAAAGTTTTATATTTTCCAAAATATAGTGGTATAAGTTTATAAAATATCCCTTTTTCATTCATTCACCTTTTATTTATGGCAGTCTCATCTTTAAGAGAAATGTACATTTACCACTGTACATAAACGGTGAGGAAGTGGAGAGAGTTGGTAGTTTTAAATTTCTGGGTACTTACATCTCAGAGGACCTCTCATGGACTATAAATGCCAACATGCTAATGAAGAAGGCACAGAAGAGGCTGTATTTCCTGAGAATGCTTGGCAAGTTAAATTTATCTCAGCATTTACTTCTGTCCTACTATCGTAGCACCATTGAGAGTGTCCTAATCTATGGCATTCTGGCATGGTTTGGGAATAGCTCTGTAGCGGACAAAAAAGCTCTACAGAGAACCATTAAAATTGCC